GTATGCTGTACCTAAACAACTATCCTGAGACACAGGAGATGTGAAAGGAGAAAATTGGTTCACCTGGATCTTTACACGTCATTGTTTCCAGGGACTTTCAGCTGCCCAGATTCTTCTCTTGAGTCAGCATTTTCGTGTACTATCTACTAGATTTTGCATGTGACCTGAAGTTTTTAGTGGAGAGTCAAGCTTGTAAAGGTCGTCATCAAAGCAGAGACTTCTGCCATGTGTACTGCCAAAGTAATTTCACTATGGTACAGTTTTTCCCAAGTGAGCAAGCTGTAGGGGTGGAGTGTGATAGTTCTTGACTGAAACATTGTACCTTCATATCCCAATGAGCGTGCTTCATGCATCTAAAAACCACAAGAAGCCAAATGCCTCCATCTGAGCCGCTTTCTAATAATCTTTTACAGGTATAAACCTTCAGTATTAAGCTTGGTGCTGCTGGTGTTTGGTCCCGTGGTCTGGCCTTGCACACAGCTGTAGTAGGCAGCCTCTGCACTGGCAGCATGGAACAGTCCTCCTTAGACCTGAACCAAAGCCCAGGAAGGGTAATGGGGATATTCCCAGTCACCCTCAGTGGGCTGTGGGTCCACTACAAAATTATGTTTTATGTGTCGTTTCTGTGTGTAAAGTTACATGTAGAAGGAGAGCCAGTGCTGCTGCTGCTTCTTGGAAGGTGAGAGACAATACAGTTCTGAGCTGTTACAAAGCAAAGACACAGACTGCCTGCACAGCTTTGAGATGTTTAACCTTCCTTATGAGAGCTGGGTGTTCAGCAGCTTGCTAGTTTGGTCCCTAATTGACAGAATATACTTGTGACTCTGTATTTAATCATGCTTGCTGATTGCAGTAATTTAATCAAGGAACTGATGGGGTGATTTGGAATAGGCTCCACTGGTAAATGTCGGTAGTTAAGATGGATTGTCAAGTGGAGACAATAGCTGTTAAAAGATAGAATAGAGCATAGGCGGTGAGTAACTCCCATGTTGTCTGACACAGGACACTCTAGCCTTGTTCATTGACAGTTCCCTCTCAGCTTCTCATGATGGTGAGAACCCCACAGTCTCAAAATGTTCATAGGCAGGGTAAGCAGTGGGGTGAGGAAGCCTGGTGATGATGCTACATTATTTGGATCATTGAGGAAAGGGCAGACTGAAGAATTCTGGAAGGCCATTGTGAGGCTGAGGTTCTGGACAATAAAATCATAAATAACATATGGTCTAGGTATGCACACAGTGATGTGCTTCGGGACAAAAGCGATCAGAACTTCACCTGTGAAATTACTAACTTTGAGCTGACCTGTACCTTTCAGGAGCAAGATGCTGATATGGTATACAACTTGATGAAAGCTTTGTTTCAGTACTCAGTGGTGATCAGATATGTAAATCAAGCATTAGGAATGATTAGGAGAGGCACAGATGATAAAACAGTGGATGTCGCTATACCATAGCACAAGTCCATGGTTTCCCCTCACTGGTGCAGTTCTGGTCCTCTCATCTCAAAGAGGACGTAATAAACTTGGAAAAGGATCGAGGAGGAGCAACAAGGATAAGCAAAGGTAAGGAGTGACTTTGACTTGAAGAATGACTGTAGAGACTAGAAGCCTGTAGGCTGGAAAAGAGACAATGTGCCAGGAATATGATGCAGATCTGTAGGCTCTGGAGTGGCATGGAGAGGTGTGGATAGGGGGCAGCCGTTCAGTGTCTCTTCCAAAACAGAAACTTTACACAAAGCTAGTAGTGGTCAGGCTCAGAGCAAAAGGAGGTGGTTCTTCGTAGTGTGTAGCAGACCTGGGAAAATTGTTGCTAAAAGATATTGTGGATGTGAACTCTTTCTGGGCTCAGTAAGAAGCTGAAGAAGTACCTGGAGGAGAAATCCATTGAAGAACCTAAATACGGGGAAACCCCATCAGACTCAGAAAATCCCCTGACCTGAAAATAACTGCAGAGAGGGAGAGTACAGAGAAGGAAGTATCATTTGTGCTTGTCTTGTTCTTTCTCTTCCCTCAGTGTCCATTTGAGGCAACCGTCAATGTCCAGATACTGGGTTCAGGGACCTTTGATCTGACACAGTATGGGTGTTCTTGTGAAACTGGTATTTCTATAGGGTGACCCCAAGGAGGGGTCTGCAGCAGCCCCTCAGCTCCCAGCAGCAGGGCTGTGTCTATGTGCAGCACCATCACCTAGCTTGCTCTATGCCACGTCTTCCTCTGCCTTGTTTATGCAGTGTGTGCTTTCTTCCAGATGTTTGCAAGAATTATCTGTTAAATTATAGAAGTATTTTTTTTCTTGCAATAAAAAACTGTTGATAGGTGTGGTGTTTGAAAATGAAGGGACATACTAGACCCATTGGAGTTCATGATCATGAAAACGGAGGGGGGGCGGAAATCCTTGCTTTTTCCATTTTTGAAAGCTTTGGGTGCCATCTGCTGGATTCAGTAGGACCTTACACGTTGGAGCAAAATTCCTAGTTGTTGATTGAAAAGTGCTTGAAGAATTTAATTTACCCAGGGCAGTGTCTTTGTTTGCACCTCCTGGTTCTTTTGGCTCTGGTGATAACATAACTCAGGTCTATGGGATGTTCTTTCCCACACAGAGAAGTGCCTGCTTGCAGTTCCCTTTTAAAGATACCATTCAGACTGAATTCTCTTAGGGTTTTCACTGTGTTTGGTCACATAATGGGGAAATGGTGGAAGGAAATAAGGATCGTCAGGCATTATGCCCTGGCCATGTATTGCAGTAGCAGAGCCTGCTTTGAGCAGCTTTCAGGCTGTCTGAGGCTGCTGGAGACAGGGACAGGCAGGCACTGGGGAGCTGGAGAAGGCTGTGTGTCCAGGGGCCCTGGTTACTGCCTCTGATATGTGGCCTAGCTGTATAGCAGCCAAATACAGCTCTGTACATTGAACTGTGTGAAGGGGTGGTGTGTGTGTACCGGGTGGATGAGGCACAGGTCCATGGGATGGGCATGGTGCCTGCTCTGCAGTTAAGGCGCCTGAGCTGGCTTCTCTGGGCTTGCAATGTGAGATGTCCCTGGCTCTTGCCTTGGGAATGTCCAAGAGTAGAGTGAGGTAGCCATGGGCCCTTACAGAGGGCTGAGGAGGACTTTGCATATTCATTGTCCAGGGGAGATGGCCAGCTATGTGTTTGCAGAAAAGTGTCAAACAGTATGACCTGTGTGAGCCACCGAGCTCAGACACGCAGGGAGCTGTAGTGCAGTTAGCCACAGCACTGCCTTGGGACGCATCTGTCACTGTGAGACCCCTCAAGAGTCGTATTCCTTTCGTTTTTTCTTCCTCACAGTTATCTCTGGTGTGTTCACTCTCACTTGATAATTTGATGATACAGGGCTTAGGCAGCAATACTGGCTTGTGCGATCCCATCCATCCCTTGCTACTTGTTCTCTTCCCAAGCCACAGTGCCCCTGATCCCAGCACTGTATGTGAGGCCATGCTGTGTACTGCTGGGTTTTAAAAAAAATAACCCAAAACTACAGCATGATGAAATGGGTTATATTTAACCTAGACCAGTTCCTTTTTATTTTAATCACAATGTGGCTTTATAAACAGCTGGGTCAGCACAAGCAAGGGAAGCCTGCTGTCTGCAGCGCTGAGGGGGTAGCAGGGACATGTGGCTGAGGAGCAAGACCTCTGTATTCAGCTCTGCTTTTGAACCCCTGGATCACTCAGCCACGGCTAGGGTTTGGCCTCCACGCCGGGGATGCCCCAGCCACCAGCAGGCATCTGCAAGGAGACATCTGGCCCCTACATCAGCCCTGGGCTGGCGGGCTGCTCATAGTACTCCGTGCTGCGAGGGATCCTCCTGAGTTCCCTGTGTCCAGCACTGCTCTGCTTTGGGGGCTTAACATTATGTATAAAACCAAGGCCCTTGCTTCTAGGTGGAGGTAGGCTTTGAATTTTCAACTACCTGGGCCAAAGAGAGTGGTTTGACAATAGTGGATCCTTGGAGCATATTCGACTGCTCTTTTGTGCGTTCGCAAGGTTTCACTAACTGTGCACCTGTAATTTATAAGAATATAAATAGAAAGGAATACAAAAATGAGAGATAATGAAGTCTTTTCCTTTGGTTTCCTACTGTTCCTTGCATATCAAGAGGTGGCAGTGTATTATTCCATCTAAGCTATCAAAGACTTAACAACCTTCTCTGCTGTATCAGGGAAACCACATTCCTGCAGAGTCTTACGATGTTCAGTCTTGGGCAAGTAGGCAGCCTGGAGTTTTGGTGATCTTTGAGTTGCAATGGTACATCACCACATACCACTACTACATTGATCAGTAGGAGGAAGAGAGCCTAAATTTTGTCGAAAAGAGCAAAAAAGGTTTAAAAATTGTAAAGGTTTCTGGTACAAACAAATCAAAAAGATTACTTCTGATGGCATCACATTTTGAATGATCCCGTATTTGGAACATATGGCAGTATTACAAAACTGTTGGCAAAAAACAGCAAGAGTAAAGTGGAACAAAAATGTATAGGAAGAAAACTAGAACTAGGTCCAAAGAAAGGCAGACAGTTAGAAGGCAAAATCTGTTTCAGCTGAGAGTTTATGCTTAAACAAATTTAACACACTCTTTGAAACCTAATTGTGTTCAGCGTTCGGTCTGGATGCCTTACAGATGACAAACCACAATGAGAAACAGACTTCCTTCCAGTGCTTTTACATTGACCGTCAGACCTTGAACCATGGCATTTGTAGACTTCAAAAACTCTAGATCATTATTAGATTTCTGTGGCCCTTGAATTCATATTACAATACATTAAAATTATTTCAAGCAAATGCTGCCAGTGGCAACTTGTGTGTAGTTCATATCCTTCTTATGTTTTCTTATACTCTGTTTATACTGCTGCTTTTTTCTTCCAGATCATCTTCAAGTTAACGTGATGCCTATAGGCTGTGTTCTCACCGAGCTCACTGTGCAGTACGCTTTTGTGTAGTGACTTGATTTCTGTGTTTGTTTTACTTTATGAATCAATATCTTTCAGCACCCCCAAATTCAAAAGGAGTCACAATATATCAAGTACTTATGCTGCGATGATCAAGCGACCCTGCATCAGTGGGTAACAGGAATAAGAATTGCCAAGGTGAGATTAAAAGTAAATTTAGTTGAATATGTTTTCTGTAAAATCTTGTCTTCCTCAGGTTACTGACTGTCATCACGTCAACTGGAAATACTGTGACAGGAATGGACATTCATGCTAATTTTACCATAGAAAGAAGGAACAGGAGGCATGACCAGGGTAGATTTGCTGAATGTTCCTGTACCCTAGTTATCAGTGTGTTTTTCTCTCTAATGTGAGGGTGAATTCTGTAGCTATACAACTCATATAGTTGTAAAACTCACTCCACAGTTATCTGGCACAATAATAGTATGATGTGGCTAAAGCTGTGCAAGCTCTGGTCAGTCCAGCTGTGACATTTTTCAGACAGTTCTGCCCAAACTGTCTGCCTCACCCTCTTCAAAAAGATACGAATTCATGGACCATTTTGGTTTACACAAAATATTAAGGGAGATGGATTTATACATAGCCCAGTATACTGGCTGTACCTGGCTATACAGGCCCGCTCCTGTTAGGTAGATATTCTTTTCTGCTGCAGGGTTATCCAACAAACATGTGGGGTGAACATCAAATTATTTTGTACCTTACACCAACAGAGCTGTTTGCTCTAGAGTCCAGGACTCAATGTCCAGTCTGAAAATGTAATACTTGGAAAGCATTGGAAAAAGATATTTATTGAGGCCAGTTGGTTTTAAAGCCAAGTTTCAAGATGTTTACAGATACTGAAACGAACATAAAATGTGAGAATAATATCAGTAGGACTGTCACAGGGATTCATGTTTTATTGTGCTATTTCCAGCTGGCCCTATACAGAAATAGGCACAGCACTTGTAGAAAGCTACTTTTTAGTGATATTGGGTAGGAAGAGTGGGGTCAGGAATGCTGTCCTATAGTAAAACGAATGCTTGGCCTATTTCAAGCTTAACACCGTGCTTATTGTATTGTTTTGATTGTTTTGCAGTATGGCAAGACACTATATGATAATTACAAATGTGCAGTGAAGAAAGCTGGCTTGCCCTCTCGGTGGACAAATCAAGGGATGATGGAACCAACTGCCCCTGCAGGATCCTTATCAGCAGGTACTGACGCTGTCACAGCAGTTGAAATCGCATTTATTGCCTCCTTCTGTCATCATCAGTGTTGCAGATAGTCTTTGTTCAGAAAACTGTCCTATGGATTCAGCAAGATAATACCTTGTTCTAGACAGCCCCGTGTAGCTCTGATCTATAACTACGCTAGCAGCAGAGCTCTTGCTTTAATGTTATAACTTGAAGAATACAAAGACAGCCCATCAAAGGTCAGTTTAAATCTGCATAATTTAATAAGGTGTTTTTCTGTTGGCATCTGAATACAAATCCTTTATCCTCCCTCTACATTTTATGGACTGATGGTCCATGTCTTGAAGTTTTCTGTTTGCCCATCTCTACACTGGCAGTATGGGAGCTTTTCTTCCAGTGAGTAGAAGGGATGAGTGGGATGTTCTGAGAATGATCATTTCAGAAAGATTATTTATAGGGTGAGCCACTGTCTTTCCTAGCCTTTCACTTGTTTGCATGATAACAATGTGGGTGTTAGGAGAAGGACGTGGAGGATGACAGGATTGCGTTATTCTCTAACTTTACTTTTCCAGTAGCTGTGTTGTGTTCTGCTACCTATGTTGTTATTGTGCAGATACAACAGTGCATGATGCTAGCTGTAACTTGCATGAGTGTTTTTTAGTTTCCATGCTTAAGATATGCTTTATTTGTTAGGAAGGATATGTTGGCCAAGTACTTACTGTCATAAGACAGGTAAAGTCAAAATCAGTGTTGGCAGTTCGTATTCTGACTTCTCATGTAGACAACTCAATATCCTTCAAACACCATTCTAAGGCTTCACTTTGCCTTTTCTCAGTATATGTGAGAAGAGGGTGGTCTTTCTACTATTCCTTGCCATGAAATCGCCATGATAAATGCACGTTGAGGGTAGGGAGATCCCGTAACAGGTTGTTTTGAGATCAGGGGATTTTTTAAGGGTTAGTACTTTAGCAAGGGTGGATGGAGGCGGGTACTTCAGCGAGGGTGGATGAGACAATCGTGGAGCATTTTGTGTTCTGGTGTTGATGGCAGTAGAGAGGTGGCTGGCCAGTGGGGCTCCACGCTCATGCTTCAGTCTGTACTGGATATGGGCAGGATCAAGGCCTTAAAAAGTATATTATACATCTGTATAACTTCAGCTCCTGACTAGAATCCAGGAACACTGCATGTGATCATAAAATACACTGTTAATCTTAACTAATGGATCCTATTAAGTGGTTAAGTAGCCTGGAAAGATTTCAGTCATGTATGTTGTCTCTATGGAAATATCTCTGAAGGATCATTAGCGTTCTAATTTAGGCAAGTCACTGTGGTTCTTGCTGTCTTACAGTTATCATTACTGCTCTATATAAAACCTGGGGCCCGACTATAACACTATAACCTGAACTGCCTGACTATAAGCAGTTGTTGGCTCATGTTTTGGAAATGGAACAAAGCATGTTTTCTTCTGTTCTGTTTTCAAATGGCTGTATAGCCGTTTATATGGTTTATTCCAGCATAGGCTAAAATCTGCTATAGAAAACTACAGTCCTGTGCGAGCTTCGCAGGGGGCTGTACTCTGTTAACGCCAGTGGCAGCCAAAAGCAGTGCTCCGGAAAGCAGGTGGGACTTCTGTTCTCACATCTCATGTAGCCTGTATTCCCTGGTCACGCTGCTGTAGCCAGCATTTCCATGTTTGTGTGTACCCCAAACTGTATAGTCTGTGGTTCTGAAGTGTCCCAAGTGCCAGCCGCATTTCAGGCAAAAGATGTTTGCCTCTCTACCTCACTGTGTGTGTCTTTGGACACTAAAAAAACAGTGTATGTTGTGTGCCAGCACAATATTACTATATTTGAAAGATGAAGGATGTTGCTTTATTCAGAGGTTCTGTATCGCTACAAGGCTCAATATTTTGCATTATATAATTTGAGTATCTGTATTTTGCATTATATTTGGATTATTTTCTTTTTCTTCTTAAAACAAATACTAATTAAACTTAAAATTTTGGAGAAGTTTACTTGCAAAGAATGCTGTAACATTTAAATGAAAAATAAGTCTTGATAATAGCATGCATGAACTCATATATTGATTGACTTGGGGTCCTTTAGCTGACTGACTTTGTGTAGGTATAAGTGCAGGCGTGTGGCAGGAGTTGATGTATCAAATGTTGCTTTCAAGTCATGCATACTTTATGAAATCCATTATCAGAAGAAAAAACAGATTACCATTTAGCCATGTCCCAACTTTCTGGTATATCATATTTGCCAAGTAGAATGCTATACCTTGCACTATATAGAGTGGATCTCTGCTGTCTTTCACAGAATCCCAGAATGGTAGGGGTTGCAAGTCCAACTGCTCTGCTAAAGCAGGTTCACCTAGAGCAGGTTCCTCATTTAGTTAAATCTCAGCATGACCTGAGGGCAGCAACTTCTTGAGCAGTGTGAAGCCCGAACTCCTGCTCTGCTATGGACAGCAGATGAAGTGAGGAGAGACAGCAACTTGCTCAACTTGAGGGCATGGCCACAGAACCCAGGGATTTACATCTCTCTCCACTGAGCACTTACAGCCACAAGATTGGGTTTGTCTCTTTATTAACTTCCATGTTAGTCCTTCAACAAACACAGACTGTAGTTTGAATGATCAAAATGGTACATTGGATTAAATATGCTGAACAACATGCAGGCACAGGTTTAAGACACAAGGACTTCAGACCATCTTCTGTCATCCCTTGAAGCCTAGATTCAGTACACTGCAGAGTTTGTCTGTCTTCTCTGTCAATCGTGTGATTTGCAGGCATGGCAATAAAAATAATTTATTCTATTTCTTATCATATTCATGGAACCTCTGCTAATCACAAAAGTACATGTTAAGATAAAAACCATCGTTGTGCTTAGACTTATATTGGAGACAGCTAAGGGTTCACTAGCATCTGAGAAGTGCAAGAGTGGAACTTTACTGGATCTTAGAACTGTAAATTGCAATAGAGCTAAGGCAGTCATTAAGGTTTACAAATGTATGTATCTAGGCACCAAACACTACCTACTACCTTGACTTGTACAGCTTCCAAAAATCCTAGACTAAACTGGAGAGTTTATTTAATCCTCATCAGACTATACAGGGGCTGGGGATTTTTTCATAATTAAACCCACAAATTTGTCTTTTAGTCTCACATTCACTTACTCCATTTGACAATGCTGGGTTATTTATGCATATCCCTTACAAACACAGTAATGGTGGGCAGATGTTTTGCAGAGCTTTACCTTAGCCCGCTAGCAGATCTTCACTAATCTGAGAATACAGCGAGGTTCACAAATCTTCTGGGGCTCCAGATGGGGGAGAAGTTTCAGATCTGATAGCGCATTTACTGAAGAAAATGGATCAGCCCAGCTGTAGGACTTCAAACCTTCAGCTCTCATTGACTCTTATTGATATGCAACTATGGCACTTGTAATCTTTAGCCTAAAGTAAAGGAAAAAAGCATGCAATAAAAACTGAGAAGGTAGTAATACCACAGCACACTACAAACTTCAAAATGCTGTTATGAAAGACAGGTATTTAATCAACCGAAGGCCAGAGGGTGGGCTTAACTATGCCGGTTTGATTTTTGCTGAGCTTTGCTTCCAAAGCCAGCTCCCCTCCTCTATTCCTATATCAGCCTTAACGGTTCCCTTCTGTAATCACCGTTTACGATAGTCAGAAGAAAAAGCTCTTCATTTGTCAACTCCTTTACACACACTGATAACGTCTGTCATATTTCTTCATGATTCTGACACTTACGTAGGATTGTCAGGTGCAACCGTGGAGGCATGTGGACAGGTATTAGTTTTAATGTAAGGTACCTTGTTTATTTTCCTCAGATAACAAACTGATTTATGAAAAGTCACAAACTAAGCCTGAAGTAGAGAACAGACATTCTCATAGATTTTACTGAATTATGCATAAAAAAAGCTGTAACGAGTGGTTCCTTGGTGGAAGTTGTAAAGAAGTTTTTATAGCCTTTTTCTTAGTTTGCTATTCCCTGATCTGGTTAATATCACAAAAATGTAACACACTCTTCCTTCGTAACACACTCTTCCTTCTGTCTCCTCTCCCTCTCACAGGTGCTGTTCAGTCAAACGGACAGGTTCCCCAAATTGTTCGTCGTTCCAGTGCAGAATTTCCAGAGACTCAGAAGAAAGCGGATACATCAGAGGTACAGGTCAGCAGTTACTAGCAGTGCCCTAGTTAAATGTCACCTGTGAACCAGTTCTTCAAGTTTGTTTTTCTTCACCCACTGTCTTCCCCCCCTCAAAGTGCCAGAGTACTGTTGTGACAAGGATTTGGCTCCTGGGCAAAGTGGCTGGTTCCTTGCTGCCCCTCCTCACACTTTGCACGCTGCAAACAGTGTGCCGTTGCACAGAAGCAAGGAGCCGCTGATGGGAGGTGAAGGCACAGCCGTCCGCCACTTGTGTTCTTCAGAACAAACAGCTGTGAGTTCATGTAGCAGGAGTAGGAATGTGCCTACTGGGACAGTCTCAAAGAGCCTGTGCTGACAGAACCTCTGTCTCTGCCAGAAAACAGGTCTTACCTTAGTTACACAAAGGACACAGTAGTGTTTTCAGCAGGGAACACTGAGTGCAGCTGAAGATGAGTGTGTAAGAAAGGAGAGAGTGTGAAGAAGTAAGGGAGAACGTTACCTGTTTTCATTAGGCTCTAAATGCATTCCGTGGTTAAGCTCCAAATTTCATCCACTTGCACCATCTGTGGCTGTAAAACTATCAGTAGGGTGCAGTATAAGGACTTCAAAAACATCCTACAGACAAAAAACCCTGCATTTGTTCGCAGTTCAATCCCTCCATCACGCATAAAGTGCACAGGACAATTGAAATGAAATTCCTGGGATTTTTCTGTCGCCTGCATTACATGTCATACCCTTCTTGTTTCTGTCTTTGAGTTCCTCCTTTAAAAAGATCTGTTTCTCTGTTCTGAACCTCACTTCCTCTGGACTCGATCATGTTCTGAGAACTCAGGCAGTGGTTCCCTCCTCTTATGTCTCGTTTACTTCCATCTTTGTAGGCAGGGAGAATGAGGAAGAGAAGGCATATGTGTTCTACTTAGCTAATCCCAGGATTAGTACTGCTGACTCCAGGGTTGCAGAGTGCTTTTCTCTAGCAGAAGCAAACACGTTGCCGCCTTCATCTCACAGCTTCCCCAAGCCTGGGAGCAAAGGATCACACTGAAACCTTTCAGGGTGCGCTGTGCTACAGTTAGAGCACTAAGCTGGCTGGATCTAAACTGATAAATTAGCCTAACTAGAAATGAATGTGTAACAAAGCTTTGTTTCAGGACAGCAGACTTCTCCACAGGTCTATAAGAATAGATAGCATGTTCACGTGGTAACTGTCAACAGCTTCCAGTTGCTACCTCAAAAGAAAAGAGCAAGTTATATTCAGATATCGCCAAATGGGCTTTATATATCTTCAGTGTTGACTAGCAAACACAGTTCAGAAGAAAAGCCACCTAAAATTTTGTCAAAATAAACATCTCCTTAATGAACTGCTGTCCTACATTTTGGCTAAACTTCTATGATGGATGCTTTGATTTTTCCTTCAAAAAAAATTGTCAGAGGGTTTAAACATCCTGTGACCTTGCAAACATGGCTAGAACTTAGTGCCTTCAAGGACCTGTTTGTTGCACTATTGATTTAAAAGCGGAGGCAGCGTGTCCATGTGCTTCGCCCAGCAGGCAGAAGATACCCTTCTCCAGGCTTGCCAGTGAGTGGCCCTTGCCAGGTCACCGGTGGAGTACCTTTCCCTGCTGTGCCCTGCACAGAATCCTGACAGATGCTTTCCCAACTGCCCTTCACAGTGCTTCGCAGTGCTCTCCCTCCCGCACAGCAGGGCCCAGCGCACTGCCCTGCTGGTGAAGGCTCGTCACACCGCTGCGGAGTGCCAGGGACAGTGAATCCAGACACGTAAACTTTAAATTCCCAAATCTCCCCACCTTCTTCACAGTTCACTGCTGTTGTGTCTGAGTTTGGCAGAGATAGATGACTTCATTATTTTAGCTTTATCCAGAGATCCAGCAGTCACAGCTAGAATGGGAGATGCAGACAGAATGGAGACAAGAACCGAAACTGCCTCTGTTCTCAAAGCTAGCTCAGTATTTTTGGATGTAAAAACACAGCACAGTTGGTTTTTTTTTTCGAGTCTTCGTGTTCTCAGGGAATGAGCAGCAGGGTGGAACATCAAGAAAGTATTTTTTCATATGTCTTACTGCAATTCTTCAAAATTTTAAAAGCACTCATTTTCTGAGGACAGCACTTGAAGCAGCACTATGAATACTGTCAACATGGAGGTTTCCACTGTCAAAGCTCTGTGGGCAGCTCCAGAAAGAAAACACAATACTGTTTGCACTCTTCAGCCAAAATGTACTTTACTTCATTTCGCTGTCTGCTGCACTCTCCTCATACATTTTCACATCTTTTCAGTGTTCTTAGGCAGTGGCATTAGTTTACATGTGCACTGACTGTGTCTTGTCCTTTTATTCCTTCTGCTTATTAAAGGCCAAGTCAAATAACATCAGCACGCTTGGCCTGGCGCAGTCGGTGATGAGGCCACAGAAATACCAGAGTAAGAGGAACTCGCTGCAGCCTCCTCCTCCACCTGAAAGGCGGTCATCTGCTGTTTCTGTTTCACCAATTCTACCCTCCAAAGTCAAACGAGACAGTGGCATTTTCCTAACAGATCCAGAGAGCTTCCCAGCACCACCACCTCCATTAAAGATTGATTTTCCACCGCCACCATCTGATTTCTGTGAACCTCCTCCTGATTTTGTGCCTCCACCACCACCAGCCTCCAGCAGCGGTAACGGAGACCTGCCATTACCCCCTCCACCTCCACCTCCCTCCAGTAAGCCACCACCTCCGATAAAGAAACCTGTGCCTCTTCCTTCAAAAAGGCTAGAAAACACAGGACAAGCTGGAGAGCCACGGTCCACTGGGCCACCTCCGATTGGGGGTGGAGGCAGGCAAGCAGATTTCATGTCTGACCTAATGAAAGCTCTTGAGAAGAAAAGGGGCAGCAGCTCCTGAACTCTGAGAGCAGGTGGACTTCAAGCCGTAGCTGGTTTTGTGAGGCATCATGGAAGGTTGTGCTGGATCAGGCTCCTCCAGGAGGAGTTCTCCTTCAGAGTTCCTCCTGAGGGTCTCAAGAAGTAAGGTGGGGTGCCCTCCGTCCCCCACTTTGTCCCTATAACCTGCTCCTTTCCCCTGCCCCCTGCCATTAACTACCATTCCAGCATCAGGCTGAGGTACCATCTTGCTTCGCTCCATCAGGACAGCCAGGGATGGTGGAGCAGCACTCGCAGAGCCGGCCAGCGAGTGAAATGCATCATCTGTGGCTGCCTCTTAAACAGAATTGGAGCTGAAGGCAAAAATACAACAAAGTTCTCATGTGAACATTGAGAAGTGGGAAGATCCCCTTTCACAGAATTTCCCTTAAAGGTTCTTTATCAGAAAACTCCTAACTGTGGGTTTTTTTCAGTAAAAAGACCTGTTGGTTTTTTTTCTAAAATAGTCTGTCTTAAAAAGTAAAACCTCAGCTAGATTATTCTGAGTTGCAAAGCAGGACCCCAAAGACACTCCAGCTTCCATGTGCAACTCCAGTCATACCTGTTAGCACTCACAGTTGCTGCCTTTAAATCTCATTTATTTGGTTCATCTTAGACAGACAAAGAAAATTTTTTATTTCAAAGTCTTGTATGCTTCCCTTGGTACGCAAGGATTTTTTTTTTCCTGTTAGTTAACATTTGTCTTCAAACCATACCTAGAAATAGTCTGTCTTCTGAAAGACATTGTAATTATCTTGTACCTGATATGACTGTCTCCTCCTACATTTTTTTTTTATTTGTTCTCCCATTTTAATTTTCTGATGTTCATTTAGGCAGCATTCATTATTGGTTCTCAAATAAAAATAGCTTCTCTTTCATACCTGCACAAAGTGTCATAGTTAATGAACAGGCTTTTTACTGGCAACTGGTACCACTTCAAATATTTTAAAGAGTTTTTGTCTCTATCTTCTAGTCCTTATTTTTATTTCTTCCAGTCTTTGCCTCTTCTCATGCACACAATCTTCTAAGATATCATAATAATGTATTTCTGTGTTTTGCAATACAAAAAGCATAAAAAGCAAAGTATGTGGTTTAAAGAAATACATCAGAGCAGCTGGCAGAGCAGGGGGTGAGAACACTGCTGTTTGTCAAAATGGAGTCCTAGGTCCAGAAGTGGTGGTGGGAGGCGAGGGAAGGACAAGCTGGTGGCAGCACCACAGCCTGGGAAACTTTGGGGTCAGCTCTAGTCCAATTTTCAACATAAGGTCAGTTTGCCAGTACCTGCGTAATAGCCTAGCAGAAGTATGAAGGCTATAACCACAAAGCCTTTCCTTTTGAAATGACTACCTTTTTGTTTTTAAAGCTGAAAACACAGCATTATGAACCACGTGCGTTTCTTCCTGCCACTGAAATGATTTTGCTTTAAACATCACGGTAGAGCCCACAGCCACGTCACCTCTGGTGGAAGAAGCAGCTGCTTGAGGCAGACCAATAACTCCATTTGGATATGGGCAAAGGTGCTTGTGGTTAATATTCCTCCCTGGTTTGGAAATTGAAAAAAGTGTCAAAGCATTTTAATCACAAGGTTTTACAAGATCGTATGTGTGAGAGATGCTAAGAGCAAGATACGTACCTGCACAGGTGGCGGAGAGTTAGGGCAGGGCCACTGTTTGAGCAGCTGAGGAGCATTAAGAGTCTGTTGATGCTGCAGTTTGAAAGAGGCCCACCCCCTTCCCTCCCACCACATGTTCCTGTGTTGACCTCACTGCCCAGTGGGGTCTTTGGGTTACGTGAATTCTTTGACCAACCTGGAAGAGGTAGGGGACTTTTTTGGCTCTCCAAGATCATGCAGGTATATCAGGCCACTGGGGCCTGGCCTTCACCCCCAGGCACCCTGCAGTGTTTGTGCTGACATTGATGAAAACATGGTTGGTAGAGTTCCAAAGGTCAACACTAAGGGAGGCGATCACGGGCCATTACAGCCCCGCTTCACCCAGAGCTGCAGATCCTTACCTCCCACATTTTCCACAAGTTCATAGCACGCAGTGCCACCTGTTTGTCCCAGTACGGACGGCAGTGCTGGCTGGCCCGTCTCGCTGCTGGTCAGGCGGTCCCTACTACGTTTGCATGTTTCAGTGGCCGCGTGAGCGTATTCCTCCAGAAGACAGCAAAGACCAGGACTTTGCCATGATAAAGCACAAGCCACAAGCGCTCAGTATCGGAGCCAGACCCCTGACAGGCTGGAGCAATGCAAGGCAAAACACGCCTGTCTCAGCAGTGGGAGGAGCGGGTGGTACCTGGTGAAAGCAGCAGGAGGGAAAGGACAGGCTCTTGGAAGGAGCCGGCGCAGAGGGCGGTCCGTCATGGACACAAGAGGAACTTGGAGATGCACAGAAGGTGTTTCAGAACAGGGGTGCTTCAGCCAGGGAAGTGCCAGATGAGTCACTGAAAAAAGTTTGTGTGACATCCTGCAGCTTAATCTGTTTTCCGTTGAGACAAGCTGAAGCTAAGGGATGTTTTTCCTGCAGTAATCGTGCCCATCCCCAGAGTTACTCAGGCATAGCCATGGGACAGCCACTCTGTTTCCTCCCTTCTTTCTTTGGGTCATTAGCTTCTGGAAGAGTAAGTAAAGCTCAGTCGGGATACAGGGATGGGGGGATATCTTATGACTGCTATTACCCATTTGTTTGCTCTGCAGCCTGTGGTCGAGGAGCTGGCGTTGCTAGCAAGATGCCACAACTTGTACACCCGTGTCTCTGCTGCTAAATCAAAAGAGGACGAGGACGTAAGCTCGAGCGCTGGCCTAGCGCTCGCCCACACTGCCGAAGCCAGCCTAAGCACAGACCCAGGCGCAGTTCAAGGAACTGCCCAGGCCAGGCCCCGCTCCCAGAAAGACAACATGGACAAGTCTAAAGCAGGTTTCACTGCCCGCACAGAGATCCCCTGTGGTGTGGCTGTGGCGGGTACCTGTTCATGGCCTGAGGGACTATTTCCTGGCCCTCTTACTTACCAATAGAGACGGGGCCTGTGCGACTCTTCCTGGTCTTCTAGCTCCCTTGCTTTCCCTGCACTGAGCAAGAGGCTCTCACCAAGAGAACTACGTTCACCACTAACACAAAGTCTTGAACTGACATGCTAGAACATTCAAAAGGTATCTCATTGTCTCCAAGCAGCCAAACTGAGAAATGCTCTCGAGACAAGTACAAGGCCCGTAAGCTTAGTACAAGCTTTAGTTCCAAGTGCAGGAGGAAAGATACTAACTAGCTAAAAGTAGGAAGGTTACAACAGTTGTAAGTGTTGGGTGATAACAGCTGTCTGCTATCCAACTATTTTTAAATGAAATTAATTTTCTTTTATGAAATACACACTCGGCATCAAGGTAAAGCAGAACATGTCCTTAGAAAAATGTTGCACAATAAGCTAGTTGCCCTGAATTCACAAAGCATTAAGACTTCTACACAGCTTTCCTAGCATTCACTCTTCTCACCAGAATGCTCAGCCTTCTGCCCAATTTCCTCCCTTCTCTTTTGTTATAGCACAATAAACTCATTTTATACATTTTACATCTGCAGTCAATCATAACTCATGCACTTAATCTTACACAAGAGAAAAAGTTGAGCTTTTCTTCAAAAGAATTAAAGTCTACAGAAAACTCCAGAAATCTATTAAAATGCTGTGATGATTAGACCTCTGTCAACTATTTTGTGTATGTACATGGCTGCATTGATTTCCTGAAATGTAAGTATTCAAACTCTCCATTCAAAGAGCAGAGCTACGATCTTAATGATACACAATTATCTGGCTTTATTTGGTACAAAAAAGATGCTGCAAAATCAAAAAAAAGATCTTCCTTCGCAAGACTGTAAATTAAAGCATTTACAAAAAATAGAAGTTAATACTTCCACCTCTATCTAACCTATTGCCATGTGAAATTGTCTTACTCCTGTAGATCATGGCAGTATGTACATTACTGGAGATTACGGTATTGAGTCTGAGAAGATCTGAAATTGCAGCATATTATTTTTAACCTCTCCATACCTCAGATGGAAGCAGTCTCAGCAGCTGCTGTCTGCTTTGGGCTCTTACATCACTGATACAGAAGAAGGACCTATTTCAAATGACCACTCTTCCAACAGTCCTTAGGGTTAGAAAGGTTAGAATAATGTGGAAAAGTTCACACATGGGGGATCAACACAGCTGCCCCTCGTAACGGTCCTCCAACACAGAAATAGGATGAGAGCACAAGTAAACACCTGTCTCATTACCAGCCACAGGATTTTTATTCCCCATATGCTCTTGCATCACTTCTGTGTTTATATAACATGAGGGAAGAGGCAGCTCCAGAGCCGCCAGTGGAAGCCAAGTATTGTAGGGAATCTATCATGTAACACAGTATCAATGCTTACATTGTCATCATAAACCACAACGATTAAAACTTAGAATCTCATTTCTCTGCTTTCACAAAACAAGTTAAAAGGTGCTGTTGAGGTACCTATACTCTTCACGTGTTTTTAACTCACTCTTTGATAGGCACTTTGAGAGTGGAAAAGTAGAAACTGGAATGGATCACGTGGCAGAACTATTATTTATGGGTTATCACTGACGGTCTCACAGTAACTGGGACATGCATATGCAGTTGGGGGGGGACACGCAGAACAGAAGAGACTGAGTAGCGTGAAGACTTAAGAATTCTCATGGTCTTGCAGAATATTCTAAGGCAGCTTGATCTCCATTAACAGTCAGTACTGACTATTATGAAATCAGAAGAGTTACTAAAAACAGGTGACGTAAACTGCACGGTAAAACTAGGGGGAAAAAGTAACGGAGATTTGCTTTCACATAAATCAAGGAAAGAGGACATGCCCGAGTCCGGGAATGAACTCCTGGAGAAGTGGCTGACCTGCTCTCTGCAACACGGGAATATATGAAACCAGCTTTCAGGGCTTGTTCTGTTCTTTCAGATGTTTTTCAAGAACCTGAGAAAAGCCTCACACAGTGAGCACAGCAGGCAGCACGTACCACTGCTTGTAAAACCACTCCCGTCTGGGGTGGTCTGTTTGTGTGTCGTGATGCTGGAGGCTTTCTTTACCTGTAACCACGGGTGAGGCGGAGCTCCGCTTGCTACTGTCACCAACAGGATTTAACATTTATGAAACACTTGCAGAAAAAAAGCAGTACAAAAATGCTTTGCATTTATGCAATCATTCCATAAGGCAAAGGTGTGCAGGCAGCTGTGTTTGGCCCCCACACAAAAGAAACACCCTGGATGTTTGGTTCAGCACGAACTGGAGTCCTTTCCTTGCACCGGCCAGGAACCAGGGCCCAAGCTGCAGCGCTGCCGTATTTCCCCTGCGGGCACAAGTATGTTCTTCTTCAAATCATCGCTTACTTGCGGTGTAACTCACTCCGCTGCAGGTGGTAGAGCTGACGTTCACCCATTTCATCACAACATGCTATTTTGCTTGTAATTGTCCGAGAACAGACCCCAACACCAACGTTTCCACAGGTTGGGAATGCAGCTCTCTGCTGACGGGCTGTCGCAGACGCCCCCCAACAGCCCACTCCTCTTACCCGGAGGTGCCGCCAGCTCATGCACTAACCCCAGTGGTTGCAGAGCAGCACTTACTACCTGCACAAGGAACTAACCCAGGCTGAACTTGTGTAAGTTACTTAAACTTCAGTCTGGACTTTCAGAAAGCTGTATGTAAATACCTGTATTGTTCCTCACATTAAAATTCTGCTGTTTACATTTGGACAACTGTATATTAGAACGGCTCTACATCTGAAGGGAAACCATCCTGAATAATTGTGCTGATCACAGTCAAGAAGTAAAGCATTCAGGTATTTTTTAGTCACTGAAAGATTTCTAATAATATACATTTTTTTCCACACTAATTATATTTCTAGGAATAGATTTGTGAGATACTAATTATACCACTTAATAGCCTCTAGATATTTGGAGATTCTAAGACAATCCATTTTGGATTTGGGAAGAGATAAAAGTAATGCCAAGAAGTAACAAAGCCCCCAAGGAAGTCATTGTTGCTCTAAATCTTCTAGCATAACATGTGGACTGGAGTATCAAACAAGGATAAATAACGAGACCCAGGACTCAAAGACTAGTTTCTCTCTGTTACTCAAAAGACTTCCATGCAACAGCTTCAGTTGGATTTTAAATACTTTCCCTGCAAGATTTTTATTAGTCCCTTACAGCATCAGGTGGCTGGATACAAAATGTATATTGACCTGACTACATACGTAGCGAGATATTTCCAAGAAAGTCCTTTTCCATGTCCAACCAGTGAAAATTTCCTGAGGCTTTACATCCATGCACCAGCACTCTTTCTACTACTATTGAAAGATACACTTGCAAGGGGCAGTGGGCCAGGCCTGACAAGCCCCTGACACTGGCAAAGGCACCAGAATTATTTTTGGGCAAGTCACTCCCAAGACAGACATCTTTGCTCGCTATTTGAGTTTCCTCTAAATCTTTGTTGGCAGTTTAATGGGACGAAACAAGGTCAAAAAGGGAAAAGGCGGCAAGGTCTGAGTGTAAGACAATCCTCTGCTCCAGCTCTGCAAAAGACTGCAGAACATTCATGTCTTCAGAACACAATTCTATTTGAACAGCAGGCAACAGCAAGGAGAACGTTCATCAAAATACTGTATGATTAAAACTAGCTTAGACGGAGTTTAAATTGACCAGCCATTAAAAGTTACTGGGACTCACCTGATCAGCCATGAATTCTGAGAGGTCAAGTGTGACAGTTTGGCAGAACTCCAATATTGGGACTTAACGCACAGCTGATAGGAAGGGCAGAGTTGTAAATGCCAATATAATTTGCTGATGCAGACATACATAGTGGTCCATCTCTTTAATCTTTAGACTTCATAAAGGTGGTGAAGACCTTGTCTGGCCTAGCAGAGTAGCAGTTTCCAGTCCACGAAGCATAAGGGAGAGAAGCTCCTCTGGCTTGGTCCATTAATCCCATTTGAAGGCCTGAGCTTCGACTGTGATCATTTTTCTTACTTGTTCAGATTTCTCTCAGGATGAACAGCTTACTTTAAGATCCTTGGCCCAAGCTGGGGGGCGCAGGGAGTAGCCTGCTTTCTCTGCAGCCTGCTGTCTCTGGAAGGGATATTGTAAAACCTGCTGTAGGAGATGAACCTGGAAGCAATTAAAATGGGTAAGTTTCTGTACAAAGTGTTTTCCTGCAAACAAGAAAAGTCTCTGCCACTTCGTATTATGCACCCTCCTGGCTCCAGAAACTGTTCCATGAGTTGCTTGCTATTATTAGTACTATTACCGCAGTCTTACTATTTATAATTAATTCTATTAATAGTTTTGTTAATATTTTTAATAGTAAGTGTTATTAAATAGTACAGTGTTGGTGAAAGTGTAATACAGGTTCAACGTGTAAATGCCACAACTCTTTAATTAACAATTATGCCAATTATTAATAAATGTCAAGAAAGAAAAATAATTTTACCTCTGAGAAATCATTCAAATTAGCTTTTTGCACTGCTGATTCTGCCATCCAATTCCTAAGTACGTATCTAGGATTAACAGCTGAAACCAAAAGTAAATTGTCTTAAACTTCAACGTATTCAACAAAAGCAAAACAGTCATTGAAACGTGTCATTGAAATCTTCAAGAAGGTTTAATTTGCAGATCAAGAAAAAAAAAATGCATAAAAAGGAAAAGGAATTAATCAATCTATTTTTATGAGCTGCTAAAAGCATTCTTTTAAACTTGCGCAATCAGAATGCTGAAGTGCCAAACCAAAGTTAGAATAGCGTAGAACATCATGTTGGCACACAAAGGATTTCCTGTTACAAACACCGGCAGACTTTTCAAATGTGATTAGTTTACCATGGCCTAGGTTACTGCTGCATTGTTGGAAAGTGCACTTCAAGGTTATCAATACATTCCTGGAGACCATAAAAATGAATATTATATTATTTAATGTAAAAAGGAATTAGTGAGATACTCATGAGAGTCTATGATATTCCTTCTTCTATGTCATATATCAAAAGTTTGGCCATAAAAGCCTTTAATGTTGGATTTCAGCTGTAAGTTTTCAGAAACTACTTTTTGACCTCTGTCATTCCTTTTCGTTTCCGAAAGGGGGGTGGGGGGGTCAGCAGTTTTTGCCAGAACTGTCTGCTGTATCTTCTTGGGAACAGCCACGACAGCTGTACTACTGCTTTGGCACGTTCCAGGCTGATGGTGTCTTAAATAGTGGTAAGGAGATTGTAGGGACATTGAAAATGAAACTGCAGAATCAGTAACCCAGGCTATATCTTACAGGACAGAAACTAACAACTCCTCAAAGGAGTTCTCTCAGACCCTATGCCGGGAACAATTCTCATAAGCACACAGGGCTTTTATTGTCAATTTTTTAGCAGATAACATCAACACAACTCTTATTTTTGCTCTGCTATGAAAGCCTAGGATTCTGCTTCAGAAAGTTTTCCCTTTAATTAACGATCAAAACAATGTTACAGATTAATTGTAGCAAGCATTTCAAACTTGCATTGTAAGTCTTAATTTGACATTGGTCTACCTATTTTCCCAAATTCAGTGGCTGATTATTACCTGAAGAGATTAATCAGCGATACCAGAGGCATCATCACCCAGGGACTTGAAAGCAAAAGTCTGTGATTTATGGACATATACAAACTTGATCTGCTCCTTCCCTTTCCACTGATGCCCCAGCAGGTTTTACGTGAATAAATGTTAGTTCAAACCTCATATCTTATATACTACATTTCTTTCAAAAAATCCATGTAGCTCTATCAAATATCCTTGTTAACACTCTTACAGCATATTTGACAGACAGTATTAGAGAAAGCAGAGTATTCATCCAAATCATCATCCCAAATTTCCCTCTACACTACTCCTCTAATCAATTAGGTATGATGTTATTTTGTTTACAAATAATAAAGTATATTAGGAGGGGGATGGTCAGAAACAGTAGTTTGGATAAAAGGATTAAATTTAATCTATTTCTGTTTCCCAGTTCACTCCGTTTTTGCATCTCCTTGTGCTGCTGCTTCAGCTTGCAAACATAACTTGTTTAGCCTGGCTGACTACCAAGACAACTGAAGTCTTTGAAAAAAACTATGACTGGCTCCTCCTAAGGTTCTGTGGTCAGACAGTCGCAGGACTTTATTCATATTTAGTAGCTCCCCATACAGAATTACTGCCTAGTGCAGTAAACAGGCTTCTCTGCAATAAGCGTGGCTTCTAAAAAGCACCATTTAACAAACTAGAATTTACTGAAGCAGTGTAATCAGTGAAACAACACTTGCACGATTATTTTATGTATCACAAGACAACTACATTCTTTATGCTTGGCACTGAATGATAGCTATTTTAAGCCACAAGATTTGACATACAGCAGCATTACACAAAGGGTCTTTATGCTATTTAGAACAGTAAAGGACCAAAAAAAAAAAAAAAACCAAAATCTCTGCTTTAAGTGCTGAACTCTGACCACTCCTGTTCCTGCCAGAAGAGAGAAGGTGAAGCTTTCTTACAAAATCATAACATGGGTCAAAACCAGAAGCATCTCAGGTGGCACAGCCACCCCCTCCTTTACAAAAGCTGCCAAGGGAATAGAAGGACTTTCCAGCACCATGTCCAGGTGCTGACTTCCACGAGAACGGAGACGGAGGTGCCATCCATCCAGCTACAGGCATTCTTCTTCTTCATGTTACCGCTGCTCTGTATGTACTTACGTATGCTAAACAAAAGCCAATAAATACAACTGCCTATTTGGAACCCTGATAACCTTTACACAGTCGTAACAACTCCCTGCCCTAACTGCTAAAAAAATCGCGTTTTCCCACTTGGCGAAGTAATTTGCTCTGGCCCAATATTTTTTTTCAACCAGCAGTCAAGTGTGATAGCAATATAAAAAGAATATTTAAAAGGTGGAGAAGTTAACATATGACTCATACAAAAAATGATCATTCACATTAAAACCATGACTCATATTAGCAGGAGAATATTGGTCCCAGAAATACATTCTTAACAATTGCAAACTGACAAGTCTCACAGTGGCATTAAAAATATCTGTAATTAACAAAAGTGACAAGATAATGATGAGAGGATAAGAAAAGGACAAAGCAGAAGAAATTTTGTGCCCTTATGAGCATTTTATGATCTGGTCTACAGGGTTTTTTTACATGTTTCTTCTATAAAGAAATACAATGATAGACTTGTATGGGGATTTGGATTGTCACAACTTTTTGATCAACTCCTAAGGAACTATGTTTAGGCAGGACAAGATAAAGTGCTACTAAGGACTAAAAATCAAATGAAGAGAGAAAAAAAATAAAGATACCAAATAAGTGATCAACCTGCAATCTTCAAGGTACTAAAGCTACTTTGGGACACAAGATATTTGACTAGACTTACGAAGATGAAGGTGACGAATAATGAGGTGATAATGGCAACATACTCGAGGTCAGTCAATACTAAAGACAGCAGTAAGAAATTTAGTGGGACTTACCAACCCATATAAAAATCTAAAGTGCCCCAACAGTTTTGTCTTTAACATGAAATGCTGGGTAAAATGCACAGCTGAGTGAGCTGAGCCAGATTTGTGCTGCAAGTTGTACTGACAAGGACAGCTGTTACAAGCAAACACTTAAAAAAACAATTTTAAGAGCTCACAAGGGGCATCTAAGAGATCTATTTAAATATAAAAACCAACAGCAACAACAATAAAACCTCTGTAAGAAACATCAGTCACACTGATATGGAGAAGCTAGCAAAAATGTAACAAAGTTTGTTTACTTTAAAAAGAAAATAAAATGTTAAATAAAAACAATCACAAATTACCATCAGTAGTCTGTTAGGAATATCTGCTAGCTCTGCTCTATAAATATATTGTGCTGACCAGTTATATGGAAGAAAACTAACTTAACCATGAATCTTTGCATATCCAGTTTTGGACTGCTATCAAAACTGAGGCTAGTAGCACGAGCGCAGTCCTGGAGGCAAAGGCTTTTCCCTGTTTTGTCTGTCTCCTGTACTACATGATCCTCTGAGATACATGTAGAAAACCACAACGCTGGTTTGCAGAAGATCATCCCCAAACTGAGATCCTTTCTGATTTAGAATGAAAACTCAGAATGTCATAAAGTTCTCCAAAAGCAGCCTCAAAACAACATAAAAATAAGAGGTGCGTTTAGAGAGTTTTCAGCATTAAATTTCAGCCAAGGAAAACAGTGGCACTCAAAACCTGGAAACAGTATTTAAGCTAAGAGCCTCAGAGTCCCAGAGTCGAAACTTCTTAACCCTACCAAAATACAAGTAATAAACCAAATCTTTCTTCTTGGTAACTGTTTTCATATTAACTTTCTAAAAATGCGTGTAAAATTGTCAGAAGTGTTCTTAAAAATGGATGGAGCCTTGGTTAGAAAATGTGGATGCAAACATGAAGGTCCATGTGATGATAATTTTTAGTTTTTTACTATCTTATTACTGAAGCTCAGTACCATCTCCTGACATTTCCTACTAAATCAATTAAAGCTTTTGAAGAAAGTGGCCAATCAATATCTAACGAAAGTCATTTCCATTAGAAACAAGAATAAAACACCCTGCAAAGCAGCGTAACGCTGCAGTGTGCAATATCTCATGCAGAATTTGATCAGATCCTCCATTCCCTTCACTCCCTTTTGTCCAGAGATTTTCAGTTGCTCATTGTCTCTTATAGGCAAATTTCACGAATTTACCACAGCTCACTGCAGATCAAAAAATACCTCCCCTGAATAATTCTTAGAATTTCACATCTGCCGTTTCTGCTGCGGCAGACGGCTAAATACAGGACCTCTACCATTTTGTATTTAGAATAATGTGGAGAAGTAAAGCACCTTCCTTTCATGACTAGGTAGTCCTTTCACAAGTAAGGAGATTTTTCTCTGGGTGCAGAAAAAAAAGTAGGTGCCTTTCAGAAACCTGAGTTATTTATAACATGTAGAAAGGATTTGGACAAATCTTAGTCCATTGAGCCAGCACAGGACGCCTACCAGAATCTTTCCTGATGTTACCAAGGGTTCATCACTGGAGAAGAACAATGTTCTCCTGAGCAATGCAGACAGACACATTTGCAGACTGCTAAAGGAAGGAAGTACAGGTCAAGGAAAAGATGTTGCTTGTGCTCAGGAAAAGCAGCTACAGAAGAGGAAGGGCATCTCTCACAAGGAAATCAAATCCTAGGGGCCCTTTCAGGGAGCACCCTGCTTTGCAATGAAGAGTTACAACTTGGGGAGCAGCAAGAGCACATCCACCATTTCAAGACACTTAAGCGAAGCCCCACTTGAGACATGGCAAGATACAGACAACCATGCTCCCATGGGCCAGTAATTCTTAAGCTCTTAAAGGAAATCAAAAGGAAAAAAAATTAATCAAGGCCTCAAGCACCAAAGCATATAACAAGCTGGAGGCCTGGCATCTCCTGAGCCCCCAAATGGAAACTGTAAAAAAGGGAGTTAAAAAAAAAAAAAAAAAAAGAGAGAGAAAAAATAAATACAAGAAGATAAATGACAAGTAAGGGAAAGAAAAGTAAGTAGGTAAATGAGGATTGATATGGAATAGGCATATGGAATAGCTATGGAATAGCTGGACAGCTGAGTTGGGTTGCCTCAGTGTCTGTATTCACATATGGTGTGACACAGGCCAGAGCAGCCTTTGTGGGTACTGGTAGGAAAAGCCTTCTTCATGACAGCTCCAGCACTTGTGATTTCAGTCACCTCAAATACAAACAGACATGTGCTCTGTCCTTCAAAACAGCAGAACCTAGAGAAAAGCAACTTGGACTAGTAGTTGTGGTGCATTTCCATGATCTCACACTCTTAGGCCTCAGTCAACTGATAGGACTACAGCTGTATTCACAACAGAAGGTGTCTGGGCCGGAGCAGTTTCTTCATAAATGCAGACAATTAAATTAAGGAATTTTTTTTTTTTAAGGAGGGAAAAGGAGGATCCGTAAGGAGGAAGAGCACTTCATTGTAATCAAGGAACTTCTTGATCATTTAGCGTATACAAAAAGTACATATATTTTCGCAAGTCTAGCCGTACACACCTGGCTGGATTCTAATTACACAATTGGGTGAAACCAGAGATAGCTCCAGTGAATGTACATTATTACAAGATTTGCAGCAGTGTAATGAGAGTTTCTCCTTTTCAGAAAAACAGTACATTTTAGTTCTTCTCAAAAGGAAAAATAACTAACACTGAAGAAACCTATGTAAACAGATAGCTGCCATCTCCAAGCATACAAATTCCTTTGGATTGTTTTACTCACTTGTCATTCTTGTTCTTCTCTTGGCATCTGAATCATCCTTGTTACTGTACATGAAAAACAAACCAAAGAAGAAAAAAGGAAGTGCTTTAGCTAATGAGGTTTATACTTATTTTTAGAAATATTTTATTTGACTTTCATTAAAATCATTAAGTGTTCTGCTTTTGTGCTCAGTGGAAGCAGGTGTGAATCTCTAAGAAAGACTACACTTGGAAAAAACTGCTCACTTCCTTGTAGGTTTTGTATCTTGTACTGATTTTTTTTTTTCCTGAGAATGGTATTTACTAAGATTTCCAAGTACCTGACATGGACTTCTTTTCACTGCTATCAGCCATGCATACCATATAAGACTTGAGAAAAATGCGTTACATTCTCTATTGATTTAAGACAAAATAATTGGTAGGAAGTTCTGATATGCGTGTCCCTATCTATGCAACACCAGTGGTTTCCAAACACAGTCTGTGTATTCACAACCGTTCAACTTCCACCCCTGTCATCCTAAAGCCATGATATTACATAGTAAAAAAATTTTTTTTAAAATGTATTACCAGTAATTAAATACTATTCATTCCTATGTATTTGCAAAGCCTGACTTTCAGATTCTTGGACTGAATCTGTAGGACCGGCATTTTAATAAAAATTATTAACCAAAGAAATCTGATCAGTTGCTCAGCGAAACACAACAAATACAGACCACTCCTCCCATGTCATTTTATGTACCTGTGTGTCAAAAGAGAACGACAATAGTAATTATTATGGAATTGTGTACATTCACAGCCTGTACCTGGGGCTAAACTGTTAACAGTCACTCTGTCACCTGATGACCCCTCACCAGCCAGGGAGGGGAATCAGGAAAAAGGAAAGCAGACCCATGAGTGGAAGTGAAACAGATCTAACAAAACACCACCAACACCAACAGAGATAGACAGAGTTATACTCAGCCAAATGAATAGCCAGTTGTCACAATCGACAGGACAGCAGTCCTCAGGAGAAGCCAGAGGAGGAACAGGAGGAACCCCAGCCAGAACTCTAGCAGGAGCTCCCCTTCCTCAGCAAACCTTTCCCCTTTATAATGACCACAACATTACAGCATGGGCTACCCCTGTAGCTCACTCAGGTCAGCTGCCCTGGCTGACTCCAAACTGCTGAAGGCCTGCCTGGCACGGCTGGGCTGGGATTCTGTCCCAGCCAAACCAGGCCAGGAATCTGGCACAACCTAGAACCATAAAGACTAGTAAGATGCATGAAACCATGTTTGGGCCTGTTTACTGGACCTGCTAAAGATTATAGAATATCATTGCAGACTGAAGTTGACTGCTTCTGGCAAATACACACTTGGTGTTACTTTTACACTTGAAACTGCATCAGACTGACCGGTTTAATCTCAGGAGGTACATAGTAACCCATTCTGGAAATAACTTGTGTTTACCCAGATCCTGGAGCGCCCAGAACTCCTAAACAGAAAGAAACAGTTAATGGCAGGTAATCGGAATTTTGTTCCCGTTAAGCAAAAACTAAAGCAAGCACACGAATATTAAGGATATGAGAGGGAAACATGATGACCGTCCAAGGAATTTTCTACCTAAACACCTCCAGCACTTCACCCCTATTTTTCCTTGGCTTATTGTCTGACCTATTTTATTTTCTAGGCTACATAACTACAGGTTTTAATCTCTTCTGAGTTTTGTACACGGATCACATCTATTCATAGAGACTTTTTTCCCCCAAAAGTGTGGAATAAGGAAAATATATTGATAAAGAAAAATAAGGTGTGAAGAAAAAGGGAAACTTAAGACTACAGGGACAGGAGAAGACCAAGGAGAAAAATAGAGTAACTTGGAAAAGAAACAGTAACTCCTCGTTTTCATTCTGTGCTTTACATGCAGTCATTCTGCTCCCTAAAACAACCTCCTAAGTCCACCAGCTATCATTTTAAATTAGATTCAAAGACAAACAGAAATAAATCAAAAGTTAGGGAAAGGCAACAAAGTTTCCCAGGCAAAGTGAACAATATCCTCTCATGGAAAAGGCACTGTATTAAAGAAAAAAAAGAAAAAAATGATTCTGGCTCTTACAAAAAGGCTTCCTAATTTTCTTTCCAGATCAGGTACTTACAAGCTTTCTTTTCAGAATTTCCCCTCTGCATTTTTATGCCTAGCATCTCACTCCAGTTCAAACACTTCAGCTGTATTTCCACTTCTAAAGATCACACTATACCCAGGTATGAAGTTCATCTCTTCTATTTTAACAGTCTCATCTCTTTTATGGTTATACGTGGTCCTGAAGAATAAGTTTAGGCTGAGTTACCAGCAACACAAGATGGGATAGCAGGTTGAGCAGGACACAATAACAAAACGTATTCCTATGCTTTAAGCTATGTTTAGAACCAATCTTGTGCCCAAGGAAGGACAGAGGCCACTACGGGATGAGATGCCAGCAATAGTTAGGAATAGTTTGACTGACCCAAGGTTGAAATTTTCCTTATAAGCCCTATCCAACTTCACTTCTGTCTTAAAAAATACTATCAGAAAGTATTCTTAAGCAAAACGAACAAAAAAAATAAGGGGGGGGAGGGGGGGAGAAGTGGGGGAGAGAAAGTTCTTCCTAGTCGACCCATCTTAAATGTGAAGAAAATCATGTTCCCACCTGTGTATGACTAGTTATGACTGCTCATGTTGGACCTGTACCAGAGGCTGAATATCTGGCTTCAGCACTCTTCATTAACGTATCTTTCATTAGCATTCTTCATTAATGTATCCTTCATTACCAGACACAGGCTTAACATGGGGTGGGAGCATGGCACAGATATATTAGTCTCCCTGTCCCTTAATAATGCTATACATTTTCCAGACAAATCATGGCTTGAGACATCCTCTTTTATCCCAGGGTTATGCCCAACTTAATTTATTCATTTTATATTAAGTATTCCTAAAACTGGGTCCTTGTATTAATACCTCAGGAATATGGAGCTCCTTTAACTGGTCTTCAGTAATTTCACTGAGCTGCCGAAATGTCATTGTAAAATCAGCCTTTGTATCTTCCATAAGCTGGAGAAATGAAGGATACTTCTATTAGTGTTTTGAAGTATGGGGTATCAGTTCAGATAACTGCCAACAAAATTAGCAAAGCATACTCACTTTTAGGAGGAAAGCAATCAAATAGTTATCATCCTCACTCTCACCAAGAAGACCCAGTTTTGTTTTAAATAGTTCTGTGAAGCTGAAAATAGTAACAAAGTAAGGAAATTGTTACATAATACAATATACAGTATCGTGGCTAGAAGGTTTGAATTCTGGAACTGCGTACCGGATGTAATAGCGCTCACCATACCCCTCCAAAATCTGGGAAGCTCTGCAAAAAACAAAAGAAACATCAAATGCTATGGAACTAAAATACTACCGTGGGCACAGTCTTACTGTACACTAAACAATGAATTCTTCTGTCTGATATCTCACAAACATTGATATTCTGAATCAACTGGGATCTGTAGTGGGAAAAAGATTGAGGGAAACATTTTCAACAGGCTTCAAATACATAAATAGCTGCTGCAAAGAAGAAAAATACAATGTTCTTCATTTTTGTACTGAGTAAGGAGTCATGAGTTTAAACTCTACAAAACAAGATTCATATTAGGAATCTTTACAATAGGATATTAAAATACTACCTCATTACTTCAGGAGGATGTATGGTCTTTATAAGTAAGCATCTTAAAGAACAAGCTAGACAAACTTAGAATAGAAAACTGCAGGCAAAGGTCCTACCTTAGTGAAAGGAGAATGGACCACACAACATCTTGGACCGCCTTTCAGTCATATTTTGCTATTATTTATAACCAATGAAAACCTTTCTCTGCTCCCTCCAACCTTATTCTGGCCAATAATTAATTCAGAATCAACCTCCAGTTAGAAAAAAAGATTTTTAAAAGCTAATCCCTTTCTTTCCTATGCATATGGTGATTAGAGGGTCTCCTAGTTCTTTTAAGCATTAAGATATTTTAAGGATTACTTACAGCTGCTTTTGCCTGGCATCCAATAAAGGTTTTAGAGCTTGTAACAGCTTGCTCAGATTAAACAGCCCAACATTTGCCTGGTTTCCTATTTTATACCTCTTTTCATCATCAGACGTGTTTGGAACAAAATCTGTTTCAAACAAAACATTACTTTTCCACAACACAGTAATTACAATAAATAATCAATGTTAAAATACTGAAGCCCATTCTTTTTTCTACTTAAACAGCAAACTAACACTAAATATTTAAATCAAATCACAAGGATACTTATTTACAGTGAATTAAGATCTATTGTTTGCAAATCTAAGGACTACATGCTTCACAAGCAAGTTCCCATGTGTCATCAGTGACATTTTCCAACTGGAAGATAAAATAAATTCAGATGTTGAAACACAAAAAGACCATTTTAACACTGAAAACAAAGTCTTATTCAATATTTTTACTACATATAGTGCTACTGTTTAGCACACAGACCAAGCAAACAACTGTACAACCAGACTGAGGATTTATAAGTGTTTTTGGAAAAGTAACATGTATAAACATGTAATGAAATAAATAGGCCGCCTAAGCAAGACTTGTTTCAGTTGGACAAGCAAGCTTTATGTATTCATACAAAAAGTAGGGCTAAAGTGTTCCAGCATGCAAATCCATTATTTGGGAGATCATAAATATCTGCTATGCAAGTATCCAGAAGTAAAACGTATGCATGTCTACAGCACCAGTCTCTGAATGGATGCAATGTGAACGCCTTGCTCAGATCAAACGCAGGTAAGCTCACCAATGCACACAGCATTGCCCGAGTCCTCAGGGGACGTTAATAACAAATGGAACATTAAGGAGGAGACCTGTGACAGATCTGTGAGATCTGGTGGTTGGTTCTGAATTTTAACTCTAAAGCATTTCATCTGGTTCTAGGGTGCACTGGCTCTGGCTGGGACGGAGTTAATTTTCTTCACAGCAGCCTGTATGGCACTGTGGTTTAGACTTGTGACCAAAACAGTGTTGATAATGCAGCAGTGCTTTAGCTATGGCTGAGCAGTGCTTGAGCAGCATCAAGGCCTTCCCTGTTCTCACTCTGCAACCCCAGCAAGTTAGGCTAGAGGTGGGTGAGGGGCTGGGAGGGTACACAGCTGGGACAGCCGACCTGAACTGACCAAAGGGATATTCCATACCATAGAACTTCATGCTCGGCAATACAAACTGGGGGTAGTTTTTCCAAGGCGGTTGTTGCTTGGGGACTGACTGGGCATCAGTCTGGTGGCGGGAGGTGGTGGATTCATTGCCTTTGCATCACTCATTGGTCGCCCCCACCCCTTTTTTTCCCCCATCACTTATTCAACTATCTTTATCTTGACCCATGAGCTTTTTCTCATCTTTTCTCTTCCAATTCTCTCCCCAAACCCACAGCAGGGGGGAGTGAACAAGTGGCTGGTGGGTCCTTAAATGCCAGCCAGGGTCAACCCACTACATACAGAAAGATCTAAAACCAGAAAAGCCCTGGTTTTAGACACTTATTCTCATGAGGTTTCCTTAATTTCAGGCTGCAGTTTCATGAAAACAGATAACCACTGATGGTTCTGAAGCTTAGTCAGATGCAACCTCTAAACAATAATCTATTAATATGCAGTTATGGACTGGACCTGTATCTATCAATCCCAGACTGACTGAGTTCATGCTTTCAAAGAAAGGTTGCCATGACTGGGTAGGTTTGATTTGTTTTCTTCCAACATATAATTAGCTGCTGTGACTACAAAGCTAGAGCCTGATGCACACAAAGTTACTTCGGCTTTTGGCTGCTTACAGCAATACACAATTTTCAGTTTTCTAGGTTTCTGTTGTAGCATCTGTTCAATTGATGAAGTTCAACTTGAAACATTCTCATGAAAATGGGTTTAATAGTAATATTTCATTAACAAGACTTTTAGCATTTGAATGCTACCTGTATAGTGTATCATAAAACTGGCCTCTGATACCATTTTTCCCCCTAAAATTCTTCAAACAATACACATGCTTGGGATTTTTCTGCTGATAACGTTAGGAGTTTTCATGCACACAGAAACTACATAAATTAATATAAAGAACTTATTTTAAGTAAAAAAATAGTATTTTAAAACAGGTACTACACTCACTTGGGTCATAGGAGTCCATAAATCCAAATGGACCATAATCTATTGTTATGGATAATAAACTGAAGTTATCTGTATTGCACACACCTACAATTAAACAAGGAAAAACAAAAGTTAAAATTCCATCTGAACCCCGTAGTCTCTAGCAAATTTGCTGTGAAATAGATCCACTGAATCTAGAGAACTTTGGAGCAGTTACCTTTCAGAAATCAAACTCTGGAAAATAAAACTTGTCTCTCTCACTCTTGACCTGGCATGCATTTTAAGTACGAAAAAGAGAAACTGTTTGCTACCTTATCTTGCATCTGGTTTCTGTACCTAGGTGGCACTGTTTCCTTTTCCTTTCAGTGCTACACAGTATCGAAACAGCATCTTGCAAATTGGTCATTAGCTGCTTCCTTGCAAGTTGACTGGGTGCTGTATTAGCCAGACAAAGCTATTTTATTTTTCATAATATAAATCTGAAACAGAGGTGGACAGCACTGTACCCTATACACTGTAAAAGGCCAGGTTTTTATGTAGATGCACCAAATTCAGAGCAATTAAACTTACATATGACATCAATACATGGTTTTTTACCTCAGACTATATTACAACAATTCTGAGAATTTATTCTTGCTCCTGTCAGATACAGTCATGCTTCAAAAGATCAGAACGTGCTCCTAACTCTGTTATGAAAGAACTTGTACCTTAATGCATAACAGATACTGCTGTAGGTGAAGACATCAGAAGAACTGAAGAACAAAGTGACAAATAAAGGCCATCATTAAGTGTATGACCATCGAGAGTCACTCCTGTAAAGCCAATGCCATCTACTGCAGCTTACCATGTGCAAACCCCACAGACATCCACAACGCAATCATATTTGCAGTCTCTGATATGACTGTAGAGAAAAATTCCTAAAATCAAATACATCTTTTACTTCAAGTTCTCTGAATCAAAAATACGGAATACAACAAATCACATAAATGTTTGATTCACTTAAGAAAAGTCACACGTATATCTCTGCTTGTCAGGATGTTTCATTCACATTCTAAATGATGTCACTGCACAACAACCTTATCCAGCAAAGATTATAGTTAGATAAGTACATATGCCCTAAAAGAAATTAAAAAGTCAAAAGAAGAAACAAAGACACTACATATACCAGTGTATATACTAGCATATACTATATATACTACATTTATACTAGAAAAAGCATAATCCAGCACTTCATGACCAGTGTTCACTTAAAATCTGAGCAGTAAGAGAACAAAAAATAACAGAAAATGGAAGCTTCCCAATAAACATTTCCATGATGAAATGTGGTGAAGAATGTTCATATTTGACTTTGAGAAAATAAAAACTCCAAGAAGCAGGTTTTTACTGAAAAAAAAATAACAAACTTTTGCTAATAAAACCTGGAAGCTTACTTCAAATTTTAAAACCTCTTATACGAAGTTTTGAAAAGCTTTGTATAATTTTTGTTCACATGTTTGTGGAAAATAAAAATAGCTTCTAAAAAAAGACTTACCAGATATTTATTTGAATCATTCATGGCTATTGATGGAAAATGTTCCTGGATGATAAAGTCTAGCAATCTTCTGTAATACGAAAGGCAGAACTCTTTAAACAGAACTGATCATTCAAAATTCTTGTTTTCAAACAGCTAAATTCTGATCTACAGCTTACTGCGAACAGTTATTAGAGAACTCAATCTATTTATTCCAATGAGCCTTGGATTAAGCCCTTCCAAATGCTTAAGAGATAAAACCTAAGGTTTATCTGGAGACTGCCATGTAGAGTTAAAATTATTTCCATGTGTTAAACTTCCAAAGCACACCAGGATCTGGTTTCACAAGCAGTGGTACCAGTTTTATCAGGGAAAAAAAAAAAGTTTGTGTATCCAAAAACCAAGTATACGATTACAAGGAATAATTCTACATCAGAACTCTCAAGGAAAAAATTTTATGGCTGAATTCTTAGGAAATAGGGTTACTTGCCATAGTCCTACAAAACAGGCTCAGGAAACTGGGATACACACATTACAAATTGGAATGCCTGCCAGATGCACGTCTTCACAGATTTAAAGCTTTACAGTAGAGCAGCTGGCATTTGGTACATTTAGGAGCTCCCTGTAGGACCCTCTTGTGGTCAGATCCAGCCAGGGCCACTGGCACAGGAAGCTGTAACCACCATCTACATGTGGGGGAGGCAGCCTGGGCACGGGTTGTGTGGCTGCGCACACAAATATCTAGATTTCACCTTCTAATCAGGTTGTCAGAACAAATCACTGAACTCTCCTCAAACTGTGATAATTTTATCAGATTAGCTAGCAGCCTGACCTTTAGAAGGGTGTCCAACCTATTGTCTCTGAATTTTAGCTGGTTGCTCCAGGACACCCTCCTTCAGGAGGACCTCCTCTGAGGAGGAAGCACAGACAGTCACACTAGCCTTGACCTGCTCTTGGCCACTCTTTCTGAGGCCCTCTCCAAAACAGGCACAAAGGAGTCATCTACTTTGCATGAGTACCAGTGATCTCTACATGCTCCTTAAATCTAATGGGTCACAAATACTTAACCCAAAAAAACAAAACAAAACAAAATTTTAAATCAGTTCCTTAATTCAGTCTTTCAGTTCTACAACTAAATTCTGCTGTAAGATTTTTTGAAAAAAAAAAGGAAGAAAGACAGCATAGTGATGTGAGACGTTAAACTGAATGTTTATCCATCACCACAATGTACAACGTACTGCTGCTATGAGCTCTTCCTCATTTTTAAGCACCCCAGAACAACTTCTATTGCTCCTGAGGAGAAATGACAAACTTTTAAACATTTACAGTAGACCTAAAAATTTGTCATGCTAATTGCTTGACACACAAATTAATACTGCTAAGAGGCTTAAAACCATGCAATAATTTCTTACCTCGTATACTTCCCTGGCTCTGCATATTTCTGGAAAGCATACTTTATACAACATAGTAATGCTAGTGATTTATTTCATATTTCTGTTAATTTAGCTTCACAGGCAACTATGAGAAATATAGGAACTTACACTTTAAATTTACAAATCTTTCCAAAACAAACTCCTCCCTAATGCTTAGGTACCAGAGCTATTTCAGCTGTAAAAGCTTTCTCATTTTGTAAGAACCAGGCCTTCAGAAACATCTAGGGGGTTCTACCATTATGAGGTATGACTTTTTGTAGGTTTGTATAAAATCAGTGGGTTATGTTTCTAACTTACACAGTCTTCCTTTCTAAATAATTTATGTCTAAATTCCAACTGCATATATGCATTCTAATACATATTTGATTGTTAAAAAAAACGAATATAGTTACTATGAAGATTAAATTCAAACCTTTGTAAGTCCAGTTCCCCAGAACGCGCTAAGATTTCTAAGGATCCTATACGAAACCATGATTTGGCAAGACGTAGCACTATTGCACCTTAAATAGACACATGTGTTTAAATGTAAACAGAGTCAGCAAAATAAAATAGTTCCACAGTAAAAGCCATCGTGTTGTTTCTGTAGTTGGTGATTTATATATGCATAGTTAAACTGGTATTTTTGTAAGTATGCTCAACGCATAACAGATGAATATGCATAACATTACTAAACATACATTTTAATGCTAAAGCTTGATTTGTTATATCAGCAAACACAGGCAAAATTCCATCACTGTGTTAACACTAGAATTACTGCAGAGATGCTAGCAACAAAGATAAAAACATAAACAGATTTTTCCCCATGCCATGCCATCCCACTCTATTTCAGTGCAGGTGTAGATACTGTAGCAACAGCACAGCCCCAGTAGCGTTCCCACTGTCCTAGTGTAGCTACCAGAACAATGGCAGATTTCCCTGGATTTCAATATCATTTTTGTAAGGGCAAGTGAAAATAAGAGACAATCACAGCAGATCTGCTCATAGGGCTTAATTTAACTAAGACATGTTCTGGACTGATTTTCTCAGGAGGAGCTTTATAACCTAATAAAAGAAATGAAGCCTATTTATTACTTTTTATCACATATATATGACATATTAATTTTTGCAATGGAGAATTAAGTTACAGTGTTGCAACATATTATTTTGAAATATGTTCGTTACCTCTTTCTTTCTTAATATTTCCATTGTAAAACTGGTCTCTCCACACATCATCATCACTTATAACTAAGCTGTAACAAACAAGAAATGAACATTAAAAAGTTATCTTAGGAAAAATAATTTACAATGAAGATCAAGTCATATTTTATATAACTTTTTTTCTTTCATAAAAAGAAAGATCTTTTTGCTGGCATAGCTTTGTATTTATAAATGACACAGGCAAACAGTAAGCCGAGGCTTACCGAGCTTCGTTAGCGAGATGAATTTATTTTGTATTTATACAACGTTGTCCAATTTCCATTACTTACACTGTTCCTGGGAAGGGGGCTGCCTTCAAAAAAACCTACTGCATTCATTTGGAACCTCAGTGGCTGATTAGTGTGGTAACATTAAATAAGTCACAATTTCCCTGAGGACAACAGCAAAACTAGAAGGACAGAGAAATTAGAAAGCAAATTGTTGCACCAGATGGAGGTTGCCCTTTACATGAGCCAAAACTGTTGTCTCAGGAACTTTGGGGACAGATCTGGGACCCTTAGCAAACAGGAACTCTTCAAATAGTATCAACACGCAAAAAAGGTGTAATTTTGATGATGTATTATAATTATCCCTGTCTTCTTCACTGGTACTTGTACTTGGATGTTCAAAAACAATCTCTTCCTTTCATTTGCCTTAAAATTCTGCACATCCTATAAATTGTCATGTTTATCCAAATACTGAGATTTGTGAGTGCTTGGAACAACTTTTCTTGCTCTAAAATATTTGACAACTTGCATTGATTTTACAAAATAAAATATGTAATTTCACTGTTATTTTCTGTTATATCAGGAAAAATAAAATAGAATTAATCCTCACAAACTATGCAAGGGCATTATATTCCCCTAAGGTTAACGTGTAGGAAGTTTTCTCTCCAAAGCAACTGGAATTACACAGATAATCCAGCAGAAGCAATACTCAGTGTTATCTTCCAAAAGACATGTTGCCCCCTTGTTCAAGAGTCTAGCAGCAGAGGAATTTAGGTCATTTTGCATAATTCTTTTTTAGCTTTGCTTGCTGATAACTGGAAAACATTCTTCTATACAGGAAAGACATGGACCTGTTGGAGGGGGCCCGAGGAAAACGCAAAAATGTTCATAGGGCTGGAGCACCTCTCCCACGAAGACAGGCTGAAAGAGTTGGGGCTGTTCAGTCTGGAGAAGAGGAGGCTCCAGGAAGACCTTGTTGCAGCCTTTCAGTACTTACAGAGGGCTTATAAGAAAGATGGGGACAGACTTCTTAGCAGGGCCTACTGCAATAGGACAAGGGCTAATGGTTTTAAACTAAAAGAGGGCAGATTCAAACTAGTTACAAGGAAGACATTTTTTATGATGAAGGTGGTGAAACACTGGCACAGGCTGCCCAGAGAGGTGGTAGAAGCCTCATCCTTCATCAAGGTCAGGCTGGACAGGACTCTGAGCAACCTAATCTGGCTAAAGGTGTCCCTGCTCATTGCAGTGGGGTTGGACTAGGTGGCCTTTAAAGGTCCCTTCCAGCCCAAACTATACTATGGTTCCATGATTCAAAACAGTTGGGTGGCATGCTGTTTGAAATTTAATGCAGCTACTTATAGCTGCTATCTATCTATTAGGTCGTTGAAGACTGCACAGAAGACAGAACCAAGCTTTCCTTGGCGGTACACAGAAAAAGACAAGAGGCAAACCAAATATTCTATTCATAAATATGACTGAAGACAGTCACAGAGTTAAAGCAACTCCCAAGTATTACATTTTGAGAGCACATTAGATTTTGGTTTTATGTACTTCGGCATCAAAATTTTAGAAAGAATTTAGTTGGACCAAAAATGTGGTCCAAATAAGTACAAAAAATCTTGAAAAATAATGATTTGTCTGAATTCTTACACAGTGCAGTTGTTTGCAACAGTAACTGTGGCTTTGAAACTAAACTATTATTATAATATTTGGTATTTTTGAAGGTGTCCAGTAGTTATCCAAACTGAATGTTCTCTGTTAACTACAAAGAACAGGCAGTGACTTATTCCAGAAGGAGAGAAAAAGCATTTAGAAATCCATCTGTTCTTGTTACTGGAGCTGTACCAATACATGCAACACTAAGAAATTTTTTCAAAAAAAGACTTTTTTGGAAACAATCATATATGCTTGGCATGTCAGCAGGATTAAGTACAAAAAGCGCTGACATAAATGAGATGGAAGAAGAAAATCTTAATCCTTCAAGGAAACAAAAAATTTCAAAAGCAGGGAATGAACGCCAGACAATCACAAAATACTGTGAGCACCAGAGCACTAGGCGACAGGAGTCAGAATAATAACGCTACTAAATTTTACTATTTTGAACAGACCTCTGCCAGAAAAGTTGTTTCCTTTCAACTATGTAACTCTCAGCAGGCTCTCTGCAAAATTCTTGCAGAATACCAGCACTTCTTTTATTATTGACAAAAAATCCACGGGGGCATCAACATACCAATTAATGGATGCGCAACACTTCGGAGCTGGCCAGAGAGCTGAGCAGCCACACAAAGATACCTACGGTCCCACTACAAAAATAAGTTTCAAACGGTCCCTGTAGTTGGTAATTACCATTACATGGGAGAAGGCAGCAGGGGACCAGACATACACCCAACCACACGAAACAAAGCACAGAAATCGCTTCTGCACCAGTGAAGCTGGAACAGCACTCACAGAAGGACACAAGGATTATATCCCTCCCTCCCCCTGGCTCTAGCTTAAGGGCTGGACTTTAGACTCCCGAGTGCTCTGCTCGCTGTTTAACATGAACATCAAGCCCTAGGCAAGTAAGGGCCACTCTGAGAACCGCATAGTGGCTCGCTTTTTTTACCTCATGCATAACACTGCTCACTGGTAGTCCCAGTATGTGCCTAAAATGGCACCACATGAAGAAGTGTTCTTTGTCTGGCAGTACAGTCATAAACTGTAGCACCCCATTGGGAACATAGTACTTAAAATTAATAGAGCAAACCAACCTGCTGGGTGTTCTGGGGTAAGCCGTAAGGCTTTTCCCCACACTTCTGCCAAGACTTCTGTAAGTGCATCCCACCAGCCTCGGCACGCAGCTCCCCATTGGGAAGAACACAGATATCAGTTGGGGTTTTTCCAAGTAAAGTCTTGCAAACAGTCTGGAGAGCCGGTACAGCAGTTAAGAGCCAGGCATTTAAACCGATTTGCCAGCAGAGAACTAAAGCACACTGTGTACTCAACAGAATTTGTGCACAGTTAAGGAGTAATTTCATATTGTTTTTGCACTGAGCAATTTGTTGAGACAACAGCAAACAAAGGCTATAACCTTGCCAGATGTCTTCCTGCTGGTATTCAGACAGATTTGAAGTTTTACATTAACAGCCAACAGCAAAGGATCTCAAGGTGAAGTCAGTGAATAAACCATCAAAAATGTCATTTACAAACACTGCACTTCAACAGAGCAAATACATTAGAATTAATGCTAGAGAGATTTGCAGACGCTTTGCAAATACAGACACCGAGCCATGTGGCAGCTGAGTACAGGCCTTTTCTGCAGAACATTTACTTTCTTTAAAGCCTGAAATGCCTGAGTACAGACATGAGACTTCTTGGAACACAAAATGAACTTGACATTTCAAACACGAATATCTGAAAAATTTAGTTTACTTAATTCTGAGAAAATCATCCAAATGCGTGAATGTATTAGTCGTCTTTGGTTCAAACAGAGTAAGTTTTAATTTATTTTTTTTTTTTTACAAAATGTCCCTTTCTGCTCAAGGGGTGTTTGCACAAATAAGGAATTGAGACCAATGACCTACACTCAGTACCATCCCCAATATTAACGTCTGTTCATCTGACTCACAATTTTTCCTATCAGTCTTAAAAATTGCAACTAGGTGACTATGACAATACAAAAATAGCCACTTGCAACATTTTCCTACTTAACCTGATTCTAGAAAAATTCATCCAAATGCTTAACTTTAGTGTCATAAAAGACTCACTTATTAATCTTGTAAAATATATTAATAGACTCATTGATTATCCACATACACTGAAGGTATTATTATTATTTACAGGGCAGGAATCTAGTCCTGCTGTTTTTGCAAGTCTTCTGGTGAGTAACAAGGGAGAGAACAATTTTGGGTTTTTTAAAGAGAAGAAACTCTTGATTGCAGTATCATAAAAGCTGCAGAGGGGAGTTAGTGTCAGATATAATCACTCAATCTAACTTCCATTTCTTACTTGCTTTACAAAATGAACCAGATTTCAAATTAGGGTAATTCAGTTAAGACAGTCTTACAAGTGAACAACAGCTGTTCACCACAAGACACTGACAGTACACAACATCATATTTAAACAAAGTAGTACTTCAAAGCATATCAAAGACAAAAGTGAACGGATTAATTGCTGGAGCTCTTTATTACTGGAAAGTTTTATCCAAAAATCTATGAAACTCAAGGGATATATTTTGTTCTGATTGCATCTGTATGAAAAGGAGGATCTATCCCCTTGGAAACTAACTGTCCTGCTTTATTCATGCTCAGTGCAACTCAGTCACAAAATTATCTGCAAATTAGGATGCTGTGAAAAAGAAAAATACCTAGCAGCTCTGCTTGTAGGAATTCCAAGATAGTGCATGGCCTCACTACACAAAAATTCTCGCACAGAAGAGCGAAGCACAGCTCTTCCATCGCCATTCCTGTGGAGAACAGAGAAATAAGGAATAGGTCATAAAGTCAAAGCAAATTTCAAAGAGAAAACATCCAGTTTTGGTGTACATAGGTTAACTGCAACTTACCTGGAGTATGGGGTCTTTCCTGACCCTTTTAACTGTAGTTCCCACCTCTCACCATGCCTGCAAAAATACCATTAGCATTTCTAACAGTACACCTCGGGCTATGCGTGAATCAGCTAAACAGAACACAGTTGAATCGATGACTTTACAAAATGTCACACCTGTTTGTATATACTCCGACCAAGTGGGCTCTTCCATCACCCAGCTGACCTGCCCAGCTACCGAACTGACAAAAATAAAAATGAAGTTATTTTCTTCTAATGTTTATGGCAGTTATACTTGAAACATTACATGTAGGTTCTCTGTAATCGACACAATATAATGACACATTTGCTCAGGTAGTCATTAAGACACTGATCCCTAAAGCTGTATTTCCACACTCACACCAATAATGAATCAGAAAACCACAGAAAAAGAATAATGCCAGTAATCCCCATTTTCTTCTCTACCTCCCAGCTATGATGTACAGCTACAGGCCTGTCTCTTTTGTATAACAAGACTTTAAACTGACACAGCTTGTAATTTTTTTTTTTAATTGGAAATTACAAATCAAATTCTACCATTCCTTTCCATGAATAATCTTGCCCATTTCAATGACACTTGACTCTTAGTAATCATGGTATGGCAGTGAAGCTCTGCCCCTATTCACTCCTCCAGGGTGATAATACCCATCACGAATCAGAGCTTGCCAGGCTGCAGGGCTGCTAAGAGACTCCATAGCTATTGGAAGTTAAAAGGATAATTTGCTTCTGGCATAAACAGAAGCAGAGAAAGCAGACACGGTACCTCGAAAAAAAAAATAAAATACAGTTCTCTTCCACCTGCAGCCTCGTCTAAAGAACAAATCTGCAATCAAAATGTTCATAAGCTTTCATATACTTACAGGCATATAGGCACATACTCGCAGGTATTTCTGAGGTTTAATTCACATGGAAAGACCTACATAATTCCACCTGGAAGAACGAGTGTCATAGTTACCTGATGACCCCCATACCTATGGGCCAATGGAACAGACCCAAGCATCACTTTCCCACCACTGACAAACTGAAGAAAATCAGATGTTCCTTTGACAGATATGTCAAGATCCAAAATATTTTCAAGAACTTCCTGTAGAAAAAAATAACACAGATGGTACTTGAATATGATCAAGTTTTCAGTGGTAATGAATGTGTTTTCTCTACAGATTTTGTTATTAAAAGACATCTCACAGTATGTTCTAAATGTTCTATTTGTTGAAAGTATATATTGATAAGATGCTTTCACAATAAATAGCATATGACTATTAAAATAGTGCATGTATTAACAATTTCTACTAATTAGAGAGGAACAAAAAATATAATAGCCAACCTTTGAAACAGTTACAAGGCGAACTCTAGATTTAAAAGGTGTAGGATATACAATTGAGAAAATGCAGTTTCTCACATTACGGACATAATTTTCCTGGATCGCATCAATTGGAAAAGGATCTGTAAACATGAAACGTTTTTTAAAAAACAATTAACCATATTATTCTTAATATCTTTCCTCTTAAATCCAATCAAAATTCCTCAGAAACAGTTAATACCCAACTCTTTACCACCACGTATATTAAGCCTGCATGAAAAGCAAGCCCAAATAAATTCAGGATTTCATTCTGTTTGGGATTTTTGAAAAGGACTGAATTCTGCAGTTAAAGAAACTGGTAGGGCATGCTAGTTTTAAGATCTAAAACATATTTAAGCACAGATTCAATTAACTGGGATTAGAAGTCTCAAGGCAGTTTCGTATTGCCCTCAATTGTATGTGACCCCAAAAGATACTTGCATGAGACAGAAAAGTTCAGCTCCCCCCACAGCTGAACCATGTAGTGCAACAGACGAAGTCACTGTGCACCAGTAACTGCAGCATACAGTCCATATGCAGCAATGATCACCAAGTAACCTCAGAAACCAGCCTGAAGTCTTCTCCGAGCAACGTAAACAGCAAACAAAAGGGGCAGAAGGTGTAGTTCATGCTGTAGCATAACATACGTACTCAAAAGACGGGCTTCGTTCTTCCTTCAGACCTACTCTGCGCCCCCATCCATGGTAAAAGAGGACAAATACCATTTTAAAACATGGGACTAATACTGTGTGTGGTAACATCTTTATGGATTTTTGCTTGCAACAATCTCATGATTCCATGTTAATGATAAAACCCCAGCACCTCATAGTCACTGTTTTGTAAAAATCATAAGCTAGTTCACATCTCTGGAGACTTGCTGTTAGCCATGTTTCTCAACACCTCTAATGACAAACCCTGTCATAGCCACCTGCCACAAGATTTATCACTGATTATTTCCTAACGCTTGTAAGTAATTGCATCACCCGAAGAAATTATTTCTGTAATGTTATAATATAAATTATGTTTATTATTACAGGCAATTCCGTATGCCCGAGAGCTATACCGCTTTGTCCACTTCAAACCAGGTGTCAGGTGATCAATTGTGCATTAACGGGTAATTGGGACTCGTGCATTTCTCCATTACGACGAATTGCTAATGCAAAAAAAAAGAAAAAAAATCTCCTCATGGCCAATCTCGTTTCAATTTTAGAAGTAATAAGTATTTGACTGTGTATCTCAGGTTTTTGCTTAGTTACTGCTTTAGCA